GTTTGATAAATATCAAATAAATGAACAACTCTTTTAAATTTATATTTTATACATATGATAATTTAAATATATGTTTATTTTATTAGAATATATATAACTTTCATTTTTAAAAATATATTATTTTTTAGAATAAAAAAATATGTGTAAAATGATAGTGGGGGCAAGTGCCCCACCTTCCTCCACATAGATTTGTGCCTGTATAAGAAGAGAATGATTAAACAATATGTAAAGAAAACAATACAATAGTGTTAGTAGGAATCATTTTTTTATTATTGTAAATACTTACTTTCCAAATCACCAAAAAGGTCATTTGAATAAGGAAGTGACAAAATTGTTTTACTCTCTAAGACACAAGGTAATAACTACAATCTAACAATATCTCACTCTTTAGATGAAGTTAAAGAAATATCTTCTATCCCAATAAATTTAACAATTTGAGATTTCCAATAAAATAGACGCTTAGGTTTTCCATTTTCATGAATCATAGTGTTTGACTTGGAGTCACTACAAACATGTCAAATTTTAAAGAACTCCTCTTTAAAAAAGTTATATGACTGAGAAAATATTTGAAAAAGCCCATTGGAATGAGTATAGTTCAATGACACACAACTAAAGGGAGGTTTACCGAGTTTCAACAGATAAAAATGCATGAATTTGGGCAAGGTAAGTTCAACCTTTAAAACAAAACACTATTTGAAAAACACATAAGAAATCCCAACTATTAAGGTGTGACTGAGTAAGAGTTACATTAATTTTGTTCAAGAATTCACATTCAAAAATAGAAAGGGAATAAAAACCACAAGATCTTTGAAAAGACAACAATATACATAAGTATAACAAGATTGAGAAGAAAGACTAGCAAGGAATTAAAACACACTCATTAATTGGACAAACAGGTTCAATGACAATTTGATTTAACAATGATGAGGAACAAATTGTCACCTTTTTCTGATGTAACGCAATATCGAAAGAAGTTTTAAATATATTCTTATACTTTGCCAACATCTCTTCTTACCCACTCATACCCAAGCACAGTAATTAACGAATGAGAGTATTCTTTTATTGTTTCTTCCTCTATTTCATTTTTTACTTTCATTATCATTGTCATCTATTTTCTTAGTACTCACATTTTTTCCCTTCTTAAATTTAATTTTTCTCTTTTTAAACATTCAACAACTTGTTAAGCCAGAATTTTATCAAAAATAGAGACAAGTATTTTAGTAGGGATAAAGTGAATTTAAGAATAAGAATACAATATGTCTTTTTTCTTCTCTGATTCTACCACTTCAGTAACGGGAATATACAAGACTTAAACCTAGAACCAGTAGACATATTATCAATTCCAAACAAAAACTAAACTCACAACACCAAGTACAAGGGTAAGAGTAATCTTTTTACCTAGAAATGGAAAAGGCACCAATTAAGGACGAAGGGAATAAGATCTCCATTCTTTAAACACCATGACAAGGAAAGTGAAGGAACAAAGGAATATGAAATACATAGATAAATAGTGAATGGAGGAGAGAAATAGACTTTTCAATACTTATAGAGTTAGTCTTAAATCCCTAATCAAAACACCCTATTAATGAAGGGTTACATCCTCAATTGACTTAGTGAAGTTGAAAAGACATATCCCATAATCCAATGGTTAGAGAAGCATACCACCAAATGAAACAAAGGGTAGGATTAAAAAAGCCCCCCTTTAATTATTAGATCCCTTGGAATTCGTAAAACCCCTATTGCTACACTAACCAAATAAATAACGGTACATTGTAATAAATCTTATTACATACAAAAGACTCATCAACTCACTCATCTCATCAAGATTCTAATCTCATAGGGCTATTCTAATCTCATAGGGCTTATGTATTAACCAACTTGATATAAGTTTGATAATTTAACCTCATCGGTTATACTAATTTCAACTACCCAAGACAATTCATTTGGTTAAGAAAGCAATTTATGAACTACCTCGATAGTTATTCTTGAGATAGAGAAAGTTAGGCACATATAAATTTTGAGATAGAGAAAGTCAGGCACATATAAATTTAGGGACATTGGATGAAAAACTAACTTGATTATCAGAGTCTTTCAACCAAGATTAATAGAAAGTTTGAAGGACATTGGAAGAAGAATGAGACCCACAAGAAATTGAGAGATTCCAAACCTCATATTGTTATCATATTTTGGAAAAAATATATCTTATATATAAGCTTTGTGTAATCTTCATTCTTAACTTTAATTTCTTGTTAATTATCAATATAATGTAATTTCCATATTATAAGAATATGAAGGTCTGTAATTAGTAAACTTCATATCTTGTTATTACTTTTTATCAGGGAGAGATATTTATAATTTTTTCTTATTTGATTAAAATTTTAGGAGGGGAGGAGAATAGAGGGAAATGAAATCCATCTTCCTCTAATTTTAAAAAAAATTTGGTATAATATCCTAATATCCAAAAATATCTTTTCTTATATTTTAAATTAAAAATTATAAAGGAACAAAAGTAAATTAATTTTTAAAATCCTCTACTTCTTTTTATGAACCAAACAAGAAAAGAGTTATCTCTCCTCCCCTCTTCTAAGGAAAAGAGTCATTTTGAATCTCCTTCCTATTTGATTATAGTGATTGATTTTTCTAAAAATATTAAATTGTCTCTAAATAAGTATTAATAAAAAAATATAGTGATAATCATTTTGGATCTTATTTCTATTTTATTATTGTGAAAATAATAAAATATAGTGATAATCATTTTAAATTTATTTCTTATTTGATTATTACAAAAACTTATTAAATATTAAATAATCTTCTAATTAATAAAAGTGAGAATGACAATCATTTTGAAGCTCTTTCCTATTTGATTATTGCGACAACTTAAGGTCCATGAAAATGAAAATCATTTTAAATCTCCCTTTTATTTGGTTATTGAAATAACTTTTTAAAAGATAAAACAAATAAAATTAAAAATATCAACTCACGAGTATTTTTCTTCTATCCTATAAACTACGTAAATTTGTTTTCCTCATTGCACTTGAAGATACGTAAGTCTAAAATCACATTCTTGTTGACTCAAAAGATAAAAAAAAAAATTCTTCTTTCTTCCAAAAATAATAACATTTGTTAAATGTAAAATTTAAGGATAAAATAATATATACAAATACAAGCTAAATAATTTTGTTTTCTAAAAGGATAAAACAAATATTTTTAAAGTAATATTTTGTACATTTAAATAAAAGGTAACTATTTTTAAAAGGTATTGTAGGAAGCTATACATTCTCTATAAGTAAATGACTCCCAAACTCAAAATTTGGTTTTAAAGACCTTCTTTTCTTTCAAGAACATTTTTTCTTCTAATATTTCTCTAAAAATAAATATCGGTGACAACTTCACTTTATTTCAAAAAAAAAAATTTGTCTAGTCATGATTTTGATTGCAATAATTGATCTTATTCTTCGTGTTCCATCCAAATAGGTTAAAAATACTTCATATAAGATATAGACCGAGTGTACGTCTAGTATGTATGACTTTCTAAGAATTTGAGAATATCTTATTTTTTGTGAAACATATGATTTTTAATAAATTGGGATTAAAGTTGCATAAGTGCACCTTTGTGAGGTGCCCTGAAACAATTAAATGATACTACTTCAATAACACCTCTAATGACAAAGTGTGTCACTAAGACGAGTGTTCCTTGAGATGAAACACATCTCTAGAACAGTTGATAGGAGTAATGTAGAACTCGATGAAGTTCAAGTGGTACAAAGTGTTGATCCACCTATAATGGAATATATATGAGCCAGCATCACAAGGTGTTGTTAGTCAAACACCAATTCAAATAGCACAAGAACCGCGTAGATCTAATAGGCCGCATCACCAACGCGAGAGTTCTGCAGTTCTTCTGACTGAGAAAGGTGATGTGTTGCTGCTGATGGATCAACAACATTAGTGTACATTACAGAAAACGTCCACCATTTTTTTTAAATGTTTGCTTCAAATATAGAGTTCATTTTTGGTCGGCACTAGTACTGGCTAGCGGCAACCAAAAGTGTGGACATGCTGTTTTTTTTTTTTGGTGTCACTAGTGAAAAATCAACATATTACGTCACCCCTTTTACGTCGGAAATACGAAAATCTGACGTAAAAAAATGCGGTGGCATTTTTGTAATTTTTACGAACTTTTTTACGTCGGACCCTGCCAGTTCATCCCTCTGTCAAATCATCACTTTTCATTTTTTTCTCTGTAAACTCTCTCCCTCTCCTTCGTTACTGAATCGTTTTTGACTTTTGCAGAGGGATGAACTTTTTGTTACTCATTCGCACATTATTACTGCTCCTCAGGTATGAATCAAGGTTTCGTTAGCACTTTTCTATTTCGCATTTCTACTCTGGCTATCTGTTTTATTTGATTTTTTGGTTGTTTTATTTGTATAGGTAGTGGACGTTTTCTTTTGGGTAGTTCTGCAAGCAGAATGGCTTGTTTCTGCAATCAGAACGGGCCGTTCTGCTTGCATTCTTTTGTTTTTTTTTGTTTTTTTTTACTATTTTTTACGACGGATTTCATAATGTCTGACGTAAATTTACGTCGGTTTTGCAGGTTTGACGTAAAATTTACGTCTCCCTCTTTCACGTCGGTATGTTTTCTAACGTAAAAAACTTAAAATACCAGACGTAGTACACCTCTTTTGTACTGGTGTGTGTGTGTGGACTTTCGGGATTTACCAGCTTTTGGCACTTAATTGCAACTTTTGTTCTGTAATCAGAACATACATATCTAATTAATTAGCGTTTTTTATTTGGAGACACAACATTGAAAATACTAAGCACATAATAATAGCTAGAAAGAACACAAATAAAATTATAAGCAGATTCTGAGGAAACTTTGGATAATATATATAGCAGTATAAAACTAAGTCTCTTAAAATTTAATCTTGTACACCAAAGTTTCATGACAAATGAATAAATGGAAACAAGTTAAAAATCTTTGATTGTGTTGTGTAGGACTAATTTCCATGCTCATGAAAGATAATCACAACAATTGATAACTGAAGACAATGTTAAACCAAATTTTTGTTTTCCAATTTTACATTCAAGTTTGCCTGTGATAAAAATTAACAGGCAAATGTTTTATACAAATATACACCGAAACAAACAGAAAGACAATTAACAGAAAATAGCACCTGTTTTATTTTACATTCCTTAGAAGTATCCTTCAGATCATATGAAAACCTATGTGTACTTGAATCATCTCATTATTTAAAAGTCGAAACAAACCCATCAACTTATAGCCTTAAACTTCGATTTGCACTTTCCTATGAGGAGTGGTGACCCTAAAAATATGTTCCTCTCCGGTGCAATTATCTACTTGAACAATCCAACGACTCTTCCTTTTGACAACCCTATCATCACCCTTCACATTGGGATCTATTTTGGCCACCAACAACCCTTCTCCAATAGGTAAAAACGATGCTCTTAGTTGTCTCCACCTTGATGCCCTATGCTTGACATTATATCCAACCACAAGTGCCCCATCTTTGTTGGCCCCTTTAAATGCAGCTTGAAAAACATCCCTTGTATTAGTGATGTCACAATCCACAAGCACAAAATCAGCTCCTTTGTAATCTCCTTGCAGAAGGCTTTTCACATCTCCCACAACAAACTCCACACAATCTCCATAAAGTCCTAGGGATTTTCTTGATGCATGTGACTCAACTTGGCCACAAGAAATGCACACCACACGGCCACCGGTTTGGTGAGCGGCTGCGGCCAGAGCAAGTGTGACCGGCTCATCTGAGCCGGCCATGCTGGCTCCGGCCACCACCATGAGTTGTGCATTATTGCCAGCTGCTAGAGCAGATATGAACTCAGCTACATCAGGTTCTTTACCTCTTTTGGCCTGCAAAATGAAACAAAACAAACATGATATCAATATCAAGTATGAAACTTATCTTATTATGGAAAAAAAGAAACAAACGAATGATGAGTAACATAAGACTAACTCGTCTTAATTGGATGGTGGAATTTGCAAATATGGGATTTGTTGCTTACCATTTTGAGTGATTGGAGATAAGCTCTCTTGGCATTTTCAGCAGACCAATTAGACATGCTAGCTGATGATGTGGTTGTTTCTCTCAAGTTTCCGATTTCTTTGGGTGTAATTTTAAGCTATCTTTGATATATATGTGAAAAACGTTGTTGCACGTTGCTGTTGAGGAGCTACCAACGCTATATATATATATATATATATATATATGTATAT